TCAATTTGAGCCAAAGAAAGTGGATGAAGCTCTCAAAGATACTCACTGGATAAGTGTTATGAAAGAGGAACTAGATCAATTTGAAAGAAATAAAGTATGGGAATGGGTTCCAAGACCTCCAAACTCCTCTATCATTGGAACTAAGTGAGTTTTCAGAAACAAATTGAATGAATCAGGTCAAGTGGTTCGAAATAAAGCAAGACTGGTTGCTCAAGGTTACTCTCAACAAGAAGGAATCGACTACAATGAAACCTTTGCGCCTGTAGCAAGACTTGAATCCATACGAATATTACTTCCTTTCGATGCTCACAAAGGATTCAAGCTATTTCAAATGGATATTAAAAGTGTGTTCCTAAATGGCTACATCTTTGAAGAAGTATATGTGAAGCAACCACCCGGATTTGCAAATGTCACCTTTTCTAATCATGTATACAAGTTGACTAAAGCTTTGTACGGTCTAAAATAAGCCCCTCGTGCATGGTATGAAATGTTAAGTTCTTTTATTCTAAATCAAGGGTTCAAAAGAGGTAATATCGATACAACTCTTTTTATTAAGCACTCCAGTTCAGGTAATCTTATTACTCAAATCTATGCAGATGATATTATTTTTGGCAGTCCTAACTCTGTTCTTTGTGAAGAATTTGCTCTTTTCATGAAAGGAGAACTTGAGATGAGTATGATGGGAGAACTGACTTTCTTTCTTGGTCTTCAAATCAAGAAGTCTACTAAGGGTATTTTCATTAGCCAAACCAAGTACACTAAGGAGCTTTTCAAAAAGTTTGGCATGAAAAATGCTAAGTCAATTGGCACTCCAATGAGTCCAACTACAATGCTCGATGAAGACATCAATGGAAAAAAGGTTGATGAAACCATGTATAGAGGAATGATTGGATCTTTATTATATCTAACTGCTAGTTGAACGGATATTATGTTTAGTGTGTGCTAATCTGCAAAATTTTAGTCAGCTCCTAAGGAATCCCATCTTTCTGTTGTTAAACGGATTATTAGATACTTAATTGGTACCTCTGAGCTAGGATTATGGTATGATCGTTCTAACAATTTTTCTCTAAAAGGCTTTACAGATGCAGATTTTGCAGGTGACAAGATTAATAGAAAGATCACTAGTGGAACGTGTCAATTTCTAGGAAATGCCTTAGTATCTTGGCATAGTAAGAAACAAAATTGTGTTGCACTATCCACAACTGAGGCAGAATACTTAGCCGTTGGAAGCTGTTGCACACAAGTTCTATGGTTTATGCATCAATTTCTTGACTATGATTTATCTCTTACATCTACTCCTATATTTTGTGATAATACCAGTGCTATCTGTTTATCAAAAAAATTTGTGCATCATTCTGGAGCAAAGCATATAGAAATTAAACATCATTTTATCTGTGATCATATTGCAAAAGGTGACATTGTTTTAGAATTTATTAGTACTTATTCCCAACTTGCTGATATTTTTACAAAATCACTTTTGGAAGAAAGATTTTGTCTACTCAAAAAAAGGATTGGCATTGTGCCAAATTTGTAAATTAAATATTTTACCATGCTTTTAAATATTTTACCTTGTTATAAAATATTTTATTTTCTTACTTATATGTGGCTTTATTAATTTTGTGTGTAAGTGTAATTATTTCCTCTTCTCAGTACCGTCGATCATTCACTTCAGAAGCATCACTTCCTTCTAAACCTGCCCTTTTCTTTAACCAAAACGTCCCTTCGTTCCTTCCAAAAGCATCCATAAAACCCTTCTTTCTCCAGTACTCTCCTCATTCTCTTCAAAGTAATCCTTCACACCATGGCCAAAAGAAGTCCCTCCTCTTCTGCTGCAACCAGTCGCAGTCGAAGATTTCAAAGACCCCTTAACACTGAAGAACCTATGGATGTGGAGTCGTCTATTGACTCAAATTTCCTCAGAACAGATAATAAAAGCAGTGAATCTTTTGAAAATCCTTCCATTAGTCAGAAAAAGGCCGGCAAGAGACCAATGGAGCAAACCCCCAAAAAGGCTGCATGCAAGAAAGGTAAAGTGGAGAACATGGAATTTGGTCCTGAGGATAAGTTAATCTTCTATGGTCCCAGTGAAAAAGCAAGGTTTGAGTCCTACAAGTCAAAATCTATGGCTTATGGACGCTCTGTAAGTTTCTCTCTCATGAAAAATCTTTACTGTGATGTGACTGCTATTTTCGATTTTCAGCATTTTTCCTCTCTGTTTGATACCATTGGAAACTCTGTTTATGAAGAATCAATAAGGATGTTTTATGCAAACCTTTTTGTGAATGATAAAGATGACTTGGAATCTATGGTTTTAGGCACCAGAATTATTTTGGACTCTTATCAATTTGAAAAGATTTTCTCTGCTAAGTTTAGTGGGTTTGATGTGTTTGTACAAAATTCGTGACCTAAAGACTTTGAAGTTTCCTTTGATGAAGCAAAAACCTTTTTGTCCGATAATCCTCCTGACAATGGTCCCAAGAATCTTAAGTTTGAACATCGTGTCTTGGCCCATATGATTGCTACTACTCTCCTCCCCAAAACTGGGTCCCTTAGCTCTTTGTCCACTAGAGATGTTTTTGTCTTTTACTATCTGGTTAACAATAAAAGACTTGATTGGTTTGTGTGGATTCGCCAATACATGCTTGAAATCACCCGGGATATATCTTCTTCTACTGCATGTTTGTACTATGGTCTTCTCATTTCACATGTTCTCGAGGTCATGAAGGTAGATTTGGCACCCTTTATACCCAAGCACATTACCAGCACTTATAATAAGACAGTCTTCTCAATGATGGGTTACACCCTGGGTGATGATAGATGGGTGAAGCGCGCCAAAGTTGAAAGTATTCCAGTGCCAGTTGAAGTTCAAACTGAGCAACCAGCATTTCAATCGACTGCCTCTCAAAATCTTCAGCAAATTCAGCATTATCTAGATGCGATAAAACTGCTACTAGTTGAGATGAAGGAATAGGTAGACAAAATCAGGGAAGTTACCAAGGAGACAGGTGCAGATGTGGCTAAACTCATGATAGATATAGGAGCCACACGGAGGCATGGAACCAGAGCTTTCAATTCCATGAGTGAAAAGATGGACAAACTTGTCAAAGATGTTGAAAATTTCTATGATTCCTTCTGCACCAAAGTGATCAACACTCTTAAGTACTTCGTGGGAAGAAGTTAATGAGACTATGTGATGGTGTTACAAAAAATATTTTTTGCTTTTTGCTTATGCTTGCTTGTTGGGTTTTTTTAAAACAATCATTTGCTTGGGTCTGAACTAGCTAAGCCTCTGCTGAAGGCACTATTTTTGCTACTCTAATCCCCTAACTAGTATGTATATTATTTCATATATTATTTGTTCTGTGTATTTTCTTTCCTTTTTGATTGATGTCAAAGGGGGAGAAATATCATGTAGAGAAGTAAACATCTCAGCAGGAGAAACTCAGCACATCATGAGATATCATTTATTCAATTATTCAGGGGGAGCAACATATAAAAAAAAAGGGAAGTCTCATAGTTTATGCTTACTTTATGTTTACTCTCTCTTGATTGTCATCATCAAAAAGGGAGAGATTGTTAAGTTTCAAAGTTTCAATGATGACAATTCCATCTTATGTTAGTTTGCAGGATTGCAGGATTCGAAACAAGCAAAAAGGAAAGAATGAGATGTTATCCAAAGATATGATTGCTAAATTAATGGACAAGAAAAAGGGACTTCATTGCAACACATTTATTAGACCTCAATCTAAGGAGTTCAGATTGCTAATCAAGAAAGCCTTCGCCAGCAAATATTCTGTATCCAAAAATAAGCTCTCAATCAAGGCTTGAATAACTCCTCAATACAAGCATATGACAAGGAAAGTCACGATCGAATCTGGGCTCTCCCAAGAGCAGGATTTGAAGAGGCACCCCTTGGGTCAAATCCCTTTGATGATCTCGTGCCTCTAATTTCGGTCAAGACTCAACGGCCCTTTTTCTCTCCTATAAAAAGACTGCTAATATCAAATGGAAGGCTTGCGCAACTACACACATTGTCTTCTAAGTCCCTCTACTTCTTAGCCTAAACACTGTAATCCTTAGTTTATCACTGTCTCAAAAGATAGGAAGAATTAGAACACAAAAGAGAGTTGTGTCAAACATTCAGAATTCACTGTTGCCATTTTTCGTTGGTGGAGAACGAGTCAAAACAATATGTATTGTAATACTTTCAAGATCTAAAGGGAATCCTTGTGACCCAAGGGAAACTGGATGTAAGTACCACAACGGTACTGAACCAGTAAAAAATTATTGTGTGTTATTTACTTTTTAATTACTGTTATCTTTCATTCTGCACTGTGTTTAGTCAACTAAAATCATTGTTAGTCGACTAATTTTTAATAAACCACAATTCACCCCTCCCCCTGTACTTTCATAAGTGACCTAATTGTGCGTAAATAATTTCTTATACCCTCGGTGCATATAACTTAAATTGCTTTCTTGGGTTTTTGAGTCCTAAGATAATTCCTTTATCTTCCAGTTATGGATGTTCTCATTCTGGAAATCTGGGGAGTTCAACAATTATCGGTCGAAGTTCAACAATTATTAGAGGGAATTTCAAATGGATGGAATTATAAACCTGGGTGATATTACTGACTTCGGAAATGAAACAAATAGTAGACCTATGCATGAGTTTTGTTGACTTTCGGAAATGAAACAAATACTACTACAGTAGATATCTGCATGAGTTTTGCATTAAATTTACCTATACGTAAATAGTCAGGAGCACAGATCGTAGGATAACACTAGGATCGGAGTCTTTAAGTTGGTTGTTTGAGTTAGTGATTGCTAAAACAATGTATTGCCACTTAATTTTCTTTTTCTGAAAAATAATTATACTTGGTTAAGCTATGCGGGAATTTATAAATGCAGAATATAACGATAAAATAAGAGATTACAATTATTAATATATAATATAATAACATTGATTAGAACAACTAATAACAAAACTAACTTTCATAATATTAAACAAAACACACACCATCTTTGATTACGCATTAGTAATTATTAATACATCAAACCAAACATCAAACAAGAAATACACATTACAATATTATCTATATTATTAATTCACGCTTAACTTATTACTATATCAAAACCAAACGACCCGCTAAATTACAACCCTATAGCCATATTATTAAATTGCTAAAAGTTATTCGACCATTACCATAATTGATAAGTGAACTAAAGCAGCTTACAAAAGTACCAAATAAAATCTAACTTAGTACCTGGTACTACACATAATAAAACTCCAAACTAGAGATACGAGGCTTAATAGGAGTGAAGAGGACGCTGACCATCTGCTGGCTTTGGAGATGGTGGTGATAGAGGCTTACGATTCCAGTATCTTTCATCGGACTTTGTGTCAAAAATATCTACAAGATCGTGATCAAAAGACGATGAACCGATCAGGTTCCATACATATGAGACAGGCAGAAGGTATGAGATGAACAGTTTCTTGAAACTTGCTAATTGGTAGTAATTGTCTGCTGAAGTTGGAAATGAAAACAGCTGATTAATGTTTTCCCCTTGAGCAATTGTTGTCATAACGAGCTCAGTGTTTTCAGAGGTTTTCTCATCAGTGCGAGTAGGAGACACACTGTTGGATACCTCCTTGCTCGGTGGAGATGAAGCTGGAGATGGTGGTGGTAGATTTGCACCCCTTCCATAACCAGATCCTACGTTCAGCCCCTCATGATTTTCTGCAAATCCAGGAAAATAATGTCGCGTCAGTGGTAAAGAAACCCTTCTACAAGTGGTGTCATATATATCTAGGGTTTTGCTTCAAAAATAAAAAGGTGGTGTCATATACGTATAATAGATCGATGTTTGTTTTTTAAAGTACATCGAGGAAGGAGGAAGGGGGGAAGGAGGAGAGGTGGAAGGGAACGGGAAAGAGGAAGGGGAATGCTATGCTACTGATGGGGTTTGGACCCTACAATTACACAACTGTAGAAGGCAGAAAGCTCACCAAGTGAGCTAGCCCTCAACCCGCTCGATGTGCTTGAAATTTATACTGAAAGTAAAACATCATTTTGGGACAAAGAGTAAAGATTTAAAACTGACACAATCCATACTCAAATGCATAAAGAAAAAATAAGTTGTTTAAGTGTCTGCTTAATTACTAAAACTATCAGATCCCATGCATGCAACAAAAGGTGACTAAAATTAAGGTATTAGTACTACAAAATAACAAAAAGAACGACAGAAAAACGAAATTATAGTTGAAGAAAACAGTAGATGTATAGCTTTAATTTCAGTTATCATTATGCTAAATTGCATCGAACTTCTTATTCTATTGCCAACGGATATGATGCATAAAATGATCGAGTTAATTGCCAAGAGAAAGAGAGTGCTATATATATATATATATACCTAGCAAAGTTCTTGCTTCAGCTCCAAATGGAGAGAGGATAAGGTAGATGAGAAACAGAACTCTCATTATGAGAATCAATTTGGTCGTCGATTAATATTCGAAATTGTTGTGTAATGAAAAGGCCTCTGAAGTCTCTATTTATAGACGGGGATAAGAAAGCCCTAGTGCGCAATGCAATTAAACCAAACTTTGTTATCAAACTGTACTTTTTAAATCATGTTAATTAGGATGACGTTTACAAATTAATAGGGATATAAGGGCAGCCCTCATGCAGAGTCGAAGATGGGTCGCATCTCAAAGAGGTGTGATGTAGGCAATCTATCATGATACAAACATTAGTGACTAATAATTTAACAACTTGAATCTGTGACCTATAGGTTACACAGAGACAATTTTACCGTTGCTTCAAGACTCCACTTCACAAATTAATTATAGGGATATATATTTATAAACTAAAACACATAAATTAAAACCCAATAACCACGTACGAACGACTCCTACATTTGAGAGATTTTTCAACTTAAATTGATCACCACTCACTGAAAAACGTCTAACTTTTCTTGTACTCAGAAGACCACAAATTTTATCATATAGTGAGGCAGCTGGTGCATTAAGTATTCCGCGTTCACATCAGTTTCGGGATAGACCGCGCCTCAGGGGTAATTTAATGTTTATGTTGGAAATTTCAACCATTATAGAGTTTCTGTTTTTCAGTAATAGACTCAACTCATGTGAAAATGCAAAAATGAAAGTACAGATGGAGTTTCTAAGATAAAAAGAGCAAGCTTGGGTGATTAGAATGGTATGTTCAGTGTCTCTCTTGTCTGCAAAATTTTGTTTTCGTACAGTACCTGATTCTTGCTTGATCTTTCCTTTTGAGCAATACTAGCTGTTGGCGATATTCAATCTTCAATTTCAACTTCATTCCTTCGATAATTCCAGTTAGTTTCCTTGAGATATTCTTTAGTCCATTCATTTTTTTCTAATTATTTTTAAAGAATTTTTGTGTTCTCAACCGTTAAAACATTTCAATCTTCAAATCTCTGCTCAATTCGTGAATTGTACAAAATATTGATTTCATGGAGATTGTGAAATGGTTACTACATAAATCCATTCCAGATTTGTTTGTTTTTTCATAACTCAATTTCTTTCCTTTTTCTCAGTAAGTACCTCCTTCCTTACATTTTGAGATCTTCTATTATTCATTCGGCTCCTTAATTAATTATATCATGCTTGCCAACCAAACGTTTCAGCCTTCACATATAGGTCTGAATCTTCACGAATCTTCAACCTTTCCTTTTATTTTGTAAATATAATTACGTTTTCTCATCACTTTGTGGAAAAATATTAGGTATAAATATGTTAAATTGTGACTTAATTGGTGAAATAGTATCCCTCCCCCATAATGTATATTTTTTTACCGATCCGGATTCTGCAAGACACAATTCTTAAGCCATAATTACTTATCGAGTGGGTTAAATCGGTATAAAGGGCATGAATTAAATGATTTTATCATTAAATTAAATATTAGATTTTTAATATGACATGGCATGAGAGAATGAAGCTTTTGACGTGCTTTTTGTTATCTGAATCAATAGTTGGATGAAAGAATTAACTTTCAAATATATATATAACAAATCTTATGCACTAATTAACGAGTAATTACAATATCTGAATACCGAAAATACTTACTCGTGCGGATATTTACACCACACTAATAATTGCATGACTAATGTTTGCAAACATACTCTCACTTAATTATGATTATTAAGTACATATTTTCATATAATAAAATCACTTAATCTTGTTAAATTGATATAATTGGGCGTAAACATCTTGTAATTTGTCCTCTGAATACACAAGTTTTTGTGATACAGCTCGTTAGCTGTTCAGCTCTTTTTCTTGTCACGCTCTCTTGCCTTTTCTAATCTGAAAATGATTGGTCGATCTTCCAAACATGTTCAGTTGTGCATAAAGGGTCGGCATGCTCAAAAAACAGCCACCACACACTCAATTTCCACGTGAAAAATTCCATTTATATTCACTGTACTTCAGATGATCCTTACCGGCTTGGAATCTTGGACCACCATTGACTCTCTCTCTCTCTCTCTCTCTCTCAGTCAATGAATGGTTTTATGAACTGGCCTAATTGATTACTATCCTGAAAATTAAATGGAAACATAATTTTTTTTACAAAAGCTCAGAATTTTTATTTTACGTCCTCAAACCATTTTAATTCCTTAGATAATTACCAAAAACTATTCCTCGCTCTTGCGTGCACGGCCTAGTTTCTATTACCACTGATAAATTTTTGCACACAGCTTTATTACGGGTACTGATTTCATTTATTTTGACCTGAGCCGAATCCAGGTAGCACACTAAAAGTAAATTGTGCTCTCTAAATCAAGCAATGCATTTGAATCTTAAGGGACCAATCAAAATATATATGACCTGTTATTTGAGATATATATAATTATTTTCAAAGTTATCGGGGACCGGTGACCTTCCCTACCCAAAGCGTAGGTCTACGTCGCTTTGTATCAGAGGCAGATCTAGCATACGTGTTATAGGTTCGGTCGAACCCAATGACTTTGGATCAAAACTAAGTATTTGTCTTAACAAATTTATTGAATATGTACAAATTATTAATTTAGAACCCAGTAACTTAAACAGACTACAATCACGAACCCATAAATTTTAAATCCTGACTCCGCCTGACTTTGTATATATGCCGAATTATAATAATAGATCGACATTATTTGCGTAAAATCTTACGTACGCTGTTGCACAGCATTTCATTTCAATAGAGGTCAAGAAATGGAAGCAGTGCTACACCAAAAAGCTGCTTTTTTAAAATTCCCTTTAGCCTTTGAGACACGCATATAATGGTCCTTGCGCACTATACGGTATAGTTGTATGCATATTCAACCAAAGAAAAACAATAAACTAGCGATAAATATAGGAGTAATTGGTGATCTTCAGTGGCTGGAGCTATCAACACACTACTTTCACCTTTAGTATTACCCTCTAGAGAGTCATATAAACATAATTACTACTTTCATCTGTTTCATCTAAAGCTGAAAGGAAACGATGGACAAGGCAAATTAGAAATTTGAAATTATAAAAATTGCATCTGCAATCAAAATTTGCTGTTAGAATATTGCGGTCAAACGCACACGCAAGTGTACGCGGTCATGAAGTAATAATAAAGTAACTAAAAGTCAGATGTTGAACCCACGAGAACTTATTATTAATTATTAACTAAATTAGACTATCCTAATTATCTAAACAAGAATTAACCTGCAAGTGTTTGAATCTAAGCTAGTTAAAATAAAGAAAACAAATAATGAACTCTAAACTAAAGAAGAACATATTTTTATGTTATCAATGTAGTGAAAACAACCTAGGGTTATGGGCTATCTAACAAACTTAATGTATTCTTGAGTTGAATTGCCTAATTAATTTATCTGATTTATTGGTTGACGGGGTTAATATTACTCACAAGAATCTATTGATCTCCTACTCGCATATTCAACCTAACTCAATGCATATATGTCTATAAAACTAGAATCAACAAGAATTCATTTATAATTCCCGTATAATAACCAAGCAAGACAATTAGCATATGCCTATCCTAACCGCGAATCCATTCCCTGATGCCTGGGTTCGAGACCATGCTCTACTCAATCCTATATACAACCTAGAATTCTCACTTTCGAGTTTAACTCTAGATTTATAGATAATATTTAGTTGGTGATTAAGTAATCAAATAATTAAGCGCATGATTGAATAAATAAACTAATACAATAATTAAATCAAGAAATCAAAATCAATAATCGAATAACAATATTCATGAAAAAATCACAACCCTAGAACGTGAAGTTTAGCACCACATAAACGTGGTAACCAAACAATAAATCATACAAAGAAAAATAAAAATTACTAAATTTGGTGGAAGAAAAGATGAAACTCTGCCTCTACGGCGGCTCTGTGCTCTCCTCTCGTCAAAAGTTACTCTAAAAAACGTCTCTCTCCAAAATAGGTATAAAACCCTTTTTATACAAGTTGGAACCATATAAAATTAAAATAGCCTTGTCCCAAGCGAAATAAGAAAAATCACGCAGGTCCAGGCCTGCGCATCGCGGTGAGTTCTGTAGCGTTCACGCTCAAATCCTTTAATTTTTGCTTAGCTCTGTATCTCATTCTCTCGTTTGTCTTCCACTTGGGAGGACAAACATCATATGGTGTCCCCTTTGTCTCCATCCATTTTATTCTTTTTTCTTTTTTTTCTCCCTTTTATTTAATTTTGCTCCACATTTATTTTTATACCGTTAAAATATAATATTAAATATAAAGTAATATAATTAATACTTAAAAGACGATTAAAAATACTAAAATATGAGATTATAATAATTAAATATATATATTTTTGGGCAGAACATCAAAGTGTTATATATAATTTTGAATTTTTCGTTTTCGCGGATAGAGGAAGTTTTACATCTTGTCATGACTGTGTCTCCCGAAATCAAAATTTCCAAAGCAATTTTAAAAAGAAAAAAAATTAAGTCTTGTGAAATTTATCTATCTATCTATCTATCTATCTATCTATCTATCTATATTTATATCTATTTATACTATATTAAAAGCACGAAGGCACTTAGCGAAATGTCGTTCACCTTTTTTACCCTTTAAAAATTAATTTTATATTAGACAAAATAGTCATTTATTTATTTTCCAAATATTTAGGAATATGATTGAATTAATTTTTTAATATTTAGGGATAATTGTTTAATTATATTCCTAATATTTAGGATTTCTTTTCGTTCCTTTTATTTTAGAAGTCCTTTTCTTTTTCTCATAGTTTAGCGTGTTTGCACATTAGTTTTTTAACCTATTACATGTAAACATTTTGCCCACTTTTAGATTTTGAAGTCCTTTTCTTTGTCATGTTTTAGCCAGTGTTTTAAAAGGCGTGGGCGTAATGCGGGGCATTTTACATATGTCCCAACGGGGCGTAAGCCCCATAGGTATTTAATTTTTAATATTTTATAAAATAATATAATGACAGTTAACATTTATAAACAAGTAAAATTGCATAAAAATTAAAGA